TTAAAAATTGAAAATCGACTTCCTAAGAAACCTAGATATTTTATCAATGAATTCAAACATGTATAAAAAATTTAAATCGGACATTCCGAAGTATGTGTAATTTACCACCGCTTATTGGTCTAAAACGTATGAAAAATACGTGAGCTGCAGCCCCCTTAATCCAAATATTAAACATAAATTCAAATATACAGAATACTTCAGCTAAGGTTTGTTACGTACCTGTTATGTACAACGTATTACACGTTTCTAGTAGTATTGACCATATAATTAATAAAGCAATTAATATAAAATATCATGCTGAGGTCATTGCAAGAATACAGTATTAAACAATTAAATTATAAAATTGTTGTCACACGTCTCTCCTTGGGAAAGTACCCTTTAAGTGTTCAGTGTCTCACTGTAATAAATCAAACACGTAGATGAAAACCTCGAGTACCTGTCACCTGAGAATATTTTATGTTAAATAAAACAGAGTAGGTAGGTACCCCGCAATTATATCTGAAAATACCAGCTAACCCAAATATCAGAACTATAGTCACAGACGAATCGGTTGACCGAGAGCGGTCCGCGACACGGGTAAGTATGACACAAGACGTCGTCTTGGTCTGTCGGCGACGTACCCGATGGACGATTCCCTCGAAGACCTTAACGGGTTCCTTTGCGGAGGACATTGCACCGGCTGGCTTTTTCGTCATCGTGGCTGGGCTCATGGCTGCGATAGACAATAATAATATTATTGTTGAGTGAATATGGTTCGCAAGGGCTTGGATTCCGGTGAGTTACATGTGTGTGCGGTGTCGCGTGATTCGACAACGACGGTGATACGGTGCGAAAACGAGAGATCGTGTGTCGTGTGAGTGGTTTTTTTATACGTCCGAACTCCGAACGCCAAGTATGCCAAGAGAGAATTTTAGTGGAATAGTACTATGTCAATAAAGGAAGAGAATTGCTCGAGTACACGGCGTAGCAGAATAGCCCTCCTGCGGCAGCGGCGTCAACAAAAAACATTTATATTTCTAATATAATAAAGTAATAACTAATTAATTTACATTAAACTGTTAATATAATTGATATATCTTTATAAAAATATAATAATTTATAATTATTAATTATGTAAAACAATAAGTCAACCTCTATTGATGAATATTATATAATAATATAATATTTTTTATTATTAATATAAAGTATAAGTTACTAGTTCATTTTAAGTGAGCACCTGTTATATTTATCGAGATAGCCGCCACTGAGTCTAAACAGTACTTTATGATGGACAACTAAGAGTACCTATAGGTATTGTGTTAATTAATTAACTGTTTAACACTATTGGTTAATTCAATAATAATTTTCTTTACACACCACGTTTACTTAAGTGTAATTTATATTTTTACAATATTCATGATCAACATTTCAAAAAAGCAATAATATTTTGGTATATAATAAATAATAATGTATAATATAACATTTAATATTTTATAAGATGTTTGCGTAACACAGCCGTAAAATAAAACAGTATTTATATAAGTTTTTATATTATTGTATAATGTATTGAATAAAACTAATATAGGCTATTATAGTTTAAGTGTTAAATATAGTGTCATTATTAATATATAAATGTATATTGTAAAATATATATTAATGTACCTACTACACATACTGTGGATAATGCTTAATAATAAAAAAAATACAAATTGGTTTTTACATATAGTTATCAATAATTTAGTAGGTAGGTAGGTAATTTTATTTTTATATCCGTTGAATGAACATTTTCTTAAATTTGACAACATTGTTTAAAAAGTACTAAAAACAGATTAAAAATCAAGAAAGTTTACATGCCGATCCCTGACTTGACAAGCGTTTTTTTTTTTATGATAATAAGTTGTGATTAATTGAAAAAAGACAATTGACGGCATTGGGCCAGTCTCGTCAAAATTTCCTATCTTATACGTGTTAAAGTTCCTCTCTCCACACATCAATTTACGAATCTAAAAATATAATTTTCGAAATTTAATTTACGTCTTTATGTGTTATAGACGATGCAAGTATCAGAATTACAAAATATATTAATATTAAAAATCTTAAAAGAGACATTAGCGTCGAGGAGTGCCATTTAACAAAAATATCACTTTTAAGATTTTTAATAAACTAAACGGTATATTGAAATTCTGATACTTTTATCATCAAAAACACATAAAATCACACATTTGTCCGTAAGTTAAATTGTTTATTTTTTTATTCATTATGTGTACAATAATTAACATTTAAAATTTTTTTTGTGTGTCACTTTAAATCTTAATTTACATTGAACTTTTATTTCAAATTACATTAATTGTATGTCGTATTTATTTCTGTTTGATAATGGATCCAAACAGTACGCATAGTAACTTTGGTGTATTGTACTTCAAAAGTATTAGGAATAATACTGAAGTGAGACACATTTGTGATCAATTATGGGTGTGACTTTCTTTCAAATTTAAAATAAATTGCCTAATTAGTTAGGTGTAACTTATAAGTGTAAATAATGTGGAACACTTATTTTTATTTTAATAAATAATAAGTTCTTTATTGATTGTTGGTAAATAATATTGGTATTGGTGTATTATATGTCTAATGTTGTTGATTTTGGTGGTGTGGGGGGCGTAGTTTTAATACTGAAGCATATTACTTAAATTTTACATTTATATAACGAATTTCATAGTAGGTCTGAATAATAGTATGAGAATGAAAATAATTTACGATAGATTCTTATGTAATAATAACCAACCAATTTTCATACATAGTAACAAATCTTCTAAACAAATAAATAATAATAATAATAATTATATTTTACAAATAAAACAAAATTAATAGTGTGTACATTCCCGTGTAATATGTAAATAATAAGGAAAATGTAGTTTGACAAAAAACCCATTAAAATATACCTAAAAAAAATGTAAAGCTATAAAATTATACATAATATTATAAAGGTTTAATTTGAACTGCATATTTTTAAATTTTGTACATCACAGTTCACTTATTATACTTATTATACTACACACAATTTTTGGGGCTGCTAAATATACAATATTCGATGATAAAATTAACATGTTATATTATAATTTACAAAAACAATGATGATGTGCGTGTATGTCTGTTTGAGCGACCGGTTGGCTAGGTTGGCGAGTAAATTGGTGGTGTGGAGGCAATTACTAGCTGCCAATATTATTTTAAAACATTATAATAAATAATAATACATATTTTAAATATCAACAAAAACATTATTGTATAGTAAGTTCGACAAAATTTCCTAATCCGTTAAATGTATAAACATAATAAGCAAAACATAGTGCAAATATGAATTATTATATTATATTATATTAGTTTATAATTACAAATATTCTTATTTGTGATCAATAGTAGTGGGTAAATGTAGAATTTCTTAGATTTAAGTATATATGTTATTACTTCAACCATTTCTACTTTGTTTAATTATAACATTTTCTACTTTTGAAGTATTCCTATATTATATTTAAATTATTTAATTCTTGAAACAATGGTAAATTATATTCCAGTTTGCAATATACATTTTTTTGTCAATATTTAAAAAAATCAACTATATAATAAATTTAGGTGGGTCTTAATACACAATTTAGTAGTGGGCCCCGTCGGCATTTTCCGACTAAGCAACCAAATCCGACACTGCAGCTAATAAATATTTAAGAAAGAAAGACATTTTAACCGTATCAATATAATATTATCATTAGGGCTCGGACTTATGGCACTTAAAATCATTAAAAAAAGCGCTTGAAAACATCATTACAAGCAATCAAATAAGTATTTAAAAAACTTAAATATAAGCAAAAATATTTAAAAAAAATTTTTTTTACACGATTAAGTAGGTACTAGACATAATTTGTACAACTGTTCTAAATATAATGATGAGCAAAAGTTTCTAACTAAAAATTAAAAAAAATTATTATATTTTAAAAAATCAAACTTCACTTTCGAGACAATTTGCATCAAGGAGGCTCCATTAGGTAGTGTTTTAAGGGAATTAATACAGGCAATTTACCATGATGACATTAAAATGACTTGTAAGTGTGCGCAAAGTAAATGAACATGAGTATGTGTGAGTTTAATCTGTAATCGTAATATTTCCTAGAAATGTCTTGAATTATAACAGTAGGTCCTCATAATAATGACCGGTATATCAGTCGTTATTTATATTTGCCGACAATTAACTTACGTGGGTGCAGGCGTTGATGGAGATTGTAAATTATGATAAACTTTTTTCAGTTTAAAAAAAGTGGTTTTTAGACCTATAAGCTAGACAAAACTAAGGACTAAACTAAACTAGGAATTTGGTTTGACGGGTTTTAATTTTGAAAACGGATTATGATTGATTAACAAGTTTACTAGGTTATGCCAGAGGCGATTATTAATATTCCAATTATTGTTAGTGTCATGATGAATACTATAAATACAAAAATATCATATTTTTTATTCTTGGATATCACAGCTGAAAAAAAATTCAAAATCACCTCTGGCATAAGCTAGTTCTAGGGCTAAGGTTTATGGATTTTTCGAGGAATTTTCTAAAAAGTAAAATGTAAACGATATTTACAAATAGTTGTAAACAAAAAAATTAATTAATTAAATCTTACCGTCATTAGTGCATTAAATGATTTAATTTTAATTCTTTCAATAACATCTTTACAGGAGAAAAACGTAAAAAAAAAGTAGAAATTCTGTTAAAAAAAGCAATAATAACCAGAAGACTTTAAAGAAGTATTTTTTTGAAAAATCGTTGAAAAAAGCCCTTTAAAAGGTCATAATAAACAACATGTTGCAAACACGACATACACATCCAAAGCACTCTGCTACATTAAAGACAATTCATAAAAATAAACAAATGCTGTAAGTACAGAGCTCTAATTATCAAATAACTTCTTGGTTGAAAAAAAAAACCAATAAATAATATCGTAGATGTTCGGGTGTCGCAAACGCAGTCACATTAAATCACCTTACTCCTCGCCGAGCCATTTATCTTTGATCATGTCCGCAGCCTTCTCGGCGATCATTATGACCGGCGCGTTGGTGTTGGCGCTGACCAGCGTGGGCATGACGGACGCGTCCACCACCCGGAGCCCGTGGACGCCGTACACCTGGAGCCGCGGGTCCACCACCGCGGTCTTGTCCCACTCAGGCCCCATCTTGGCGGTACCAACCGGATGGTATATGGTCACCGTGTAGTGCCGGACCATGCACTCCCAATAGGCGTCCGTGTACCGCTGCTCGGCGGCGCAACCCGGGAACGGTACGCCGTACAGCCGGCTGCCGTATGCGCGGAACTGTGTGGTCTGGGACATGGCCACCACGAATTTGATGCCCTCCACTAACGTGTCCACGTCTTCTTGGACCGTCAAGTAATTGGGCAGGATCCTTGGATACACGAATGGGTCGGCGCTCCTCAACAGTATCTCACCCCGGCTCTTGGGCCTCAGCAACATCTGAAGACACGCAAAACGTTGGTTATATACTTATATAATTTCGGTTTATACCACAAATAAGAAAATAATCAAAATTTATTTTCTTAAGAAACTTAAATTTTTAGAAGTGTACTGATAACAGTATTTCGAAAAAAAAACAGTGTATAAAGAGTAATTTACCGTGTTCCATTTCTACTCATGCATAAGCAGAGTTGATGTATTTATTTTCATTTTTGGAAAAAAAACTGTTCTTTAAACTGTTTTTTCTGTTTTAAGCAAAATAAATTGTTTGAGTCTTTAATAGTCAAAACAATATTTTAAACAGTTTAAAACAATATTTAAAGTATGTTTAAAATAACTTAGTTTTAATTTGATACATAATTTTCTTATATGCCAATATGACCGTGTGTTAGTATAATAATATGTTTCACTGTTTATTTATTACTTATTTTAAATATTTTCTTAATGGATGTTTTATGTGTTATACGTGTAGTTATGCGTGTATAATAAATGTAAATTAAAAATGCTCATAACTCACATAAAACCTGAATTATCGTAAAAAAAAATTCAAAAAAAAAAAAAAACACAGACAATGTTCTTCTCATCGAGTTTTATAATAGGTCGATTCACTCTATTTTTTAAGGTAACGGCATAAAACTTGAATTTCTGAGCATAAATCTGGTATGTTAGGCGTTTGTAAGATGGAGACAACACATGCGGATGTGGCGTCCTCTTAAGTAAACATAATCATTTAAAACATTTAAAATTTGGTAATTTATTCAATACAATTTAAAAAAAAAATTAAAATGAAAAATGGTAATAGATATAATTATTTAATAATTTGATTTATTTTCTGAAGGATATCTTTTATTATTTATTATTAATAATAAACAAAAAAAAAACACAATAGTCAATTAGATTTTACATTGTTTTAAACACGTTTGTGCAGAAATGTGCACCAAGTCCTATCGTTTGTGCAAAAACTGAAAGCTCTATCAAAAAAACAAAATGGGGGAAAATTGAAACTGTAGCCCCCCACATTGAATATTTGGATTTTTGAATGTGCCAAACGTTTGTGCATCGTTTTTGCAGAAATGTTCAAAAGGTCCCTGGTGAATTATTATTTAAATCTATTGGAATGTTAGTTTAACAATTAATAGAATACTTACTAGAGAAAATACTTTTTAAAGAGTATTCAAATACAGACACCTGTTCTAAAAGTATGTACAAAATTATTATTATTAAAAATTATTTGAATACTTTTGCTCGAGTAGGTACTTTATGAGATTGTATCATAGCTGATCTGAGTTCCAAAAATTAACTTTAGAATATTATAGTTTTTTAAATAACACTTGAAATCTTAACTTCTTCAATATTAGTCACATCGACTTGAAGTCTTCAAGATACAACGAAGTCAAGCGTTTTAAATTGTTTGATATATATTTCAAATTCGTATTATATCGAAAACCTAAATCATTCAATATTGGTCGTATCGAATTAAAGTACCAATTGTACCGACATTCCCTACTAATTATACGAATGGCGATACCAATATAGAAATTAATTTATGTTTTCTATGAAAAATATTTATTCCCATATTCAAATATTATTGTATAATTCAAAATAACTTAAAAACCAACATTTTTGAAAAATAAAAAATGATCCCAATGCAGAATACCAACAAGATAAATTCTCAGTTAGGATAGCCAGGATAGGTTAATCCAGGAATATTTAAAACATAATATTATTATATTATTCATATTATAATACGATATTTAAATAACCTACTGCCCTACTATTTCTAGACATTTACATGTCAATATTAAAATTGTATTAAACCTATTAGGTATCTAAACGACATATTATATTAATATGGCAAATATTTAAAATTTCAAAAATGGTGGTGTCTCGTTTCTATGCCCCCCCCCCCTTTGTTTTTTAGATAGCGCTGGCAGTTTTTGTGCACAAACGTGGGGACCTGGTACACATTTCTGCACAAACGATGCACAAACGTTTGGAGAGGTCAGAAGTTCAAATTTCGAAAGTGGGGGCCATTGAAATGGACCTCAGTTGAGTATGGTATTATATAATATTATATTGCTAGGTAGGTACTAGGTATATCTAAAATATAAATGAAGAAAAAAATGTTTTGATTGAGCACATATTTATGAAGTATTTGTTATTTGTCTTATTAGTTTTTGTTTTTATTCCGACCCTCCCACACTCTATGTCAATGTGTAAATCTTTTGGGTACCAATGTTTGTTTTTCGTATTTTTTTTTAAGGCATTTTACTTACAGGTATAGCAGACCATACGTCTTTGTTGATTATTGGTCCATACACCGATTTGAATAACTCTTCTTTCAGCCCGTGAGCTTTCCATAGTTGTACACCCCCGTCAGAATTGGTGGAACCAGAAATGAAGTGTAACTCGATGTCCGGTCTGTCAGCTGACAGATTGGCATATTTGGTGTTGATAAATGCCAATCCCTCGACGCCTCCCATGACTGTCAATGGTCCATCGCCCATCGTAGCATAGTTTAAGGCCGATTGGACGTTTTCCACCCTCTTTAGCGTTAGAGACACCTGTAGAGCGATCGAAAGTGCAAGTGGTTATATTTTTTTAATTCACTGCAGAAGTACCGTTGACAAAAATGTATTTTGTTTGGGTTAGATGGAAGGTGGTAATTTATTTTTGAATATTAGTGGAAATGTAATAAACAGTTTATCACCAGCAAAAATTAGAATTAAATTGAATAAGTCATAATGAGTATAATACTAATAGTATTCAAATCAAATCTTTAAATCTAATCTTTTTTTTTTTTTAGATTCAAATGAATCAATATTTTTTTTAGTAAAAATGTAAATATATTTAAGTACTTTAAGTACAGTAGACACCGCTTATAATGATAAATAAAATTTAAAAACTTGATTATATATTTATATGAAATTATAATAATATTGTATTACAATCAATGTGTCATATTTTTCTCTCTAAATCATGACTTCAATGAATACAGAAAAAATAAAGAAAGTTGTTTTATTATTTTAAAATTAAATTTATACTAAAAAAATCAGTCATCTTTATTTGTACTTTGTTTGATTCAAAATCATGCAGTATTATTTTTTTTCAATTTCTTTAAAATTTGATTTTAGTTATTAGTATTATCGGTTGTTATATTATAAAAGTTTAATACAGTCATTATAGTTGAAAGATTTTCCAACACAACCAAAACTAACCGTCATTACATCCGTATAGTAATATTATACATTTATAATGATGTCATAATAATCGATACAAATCAGTATGTACATACAAAATTTAGGATTTTTGCCGGTGCCTTAAATCTAAGGTCATTACACCAGGTACGTCACTACAACCAGTTTCTACTGTGGTGACAAACCATTTATTCGATTATTTAATCCCAATATGTATAAATACGCATCAGACTAAATATACTTCCTTCAGCTGAAGCTGTTGTAACGGTTAAACGTGTATAAATTATTAATAATATCTTAACATTAAGAATTATATCACTAAAGCAACATATTACAAATGCATAGGTACCTAAGTAAATAAAAATACAGACGGTGAAGTTATAGTGCCGGAAATTGATTTAATTTTTGAATAATTCATTAATCGATAAAATCTATAGTAATTTAAATATGGACAAATTGGAACCCACTGATACCGGCACTGTATACTTTAGTGCACTAAATAATGTGCCTATAATATAATATAATACACAAATCGTCATTAATTTTTAAAAAATTAAATAAACTAACGTTGTATTATTATTGATTAATGTGCATAGTAATATCACCTCTTTGTTTATCTGAAACGTGAGGCCGCCGAGTCCTATGTGGTCTTGAAGATTTTTCCCGACATCCAAATCTGCTAGAACGGGTATGCCCATTTCTGTCAGATGATTCCTAGGACCTATGCCCGAGAGCATAAGCAGCTGTGCAGAACTAATGGAACCCGCCGACAGCAGCACTTCTTTTTTAGCCCGGATAAAATGCCGAGTGTTGTCCTTGGTCATTTCGACGCCAAACGCAACTTTAGTCTCGGGGTCGATTGCTATGCGTGTGACATGAGCGTTGATGGCCACGTGCAGGTTCTTCCTCAGTCTGACCGGTCTCAAGAAAGCTTTCGCTGTACTGCATCTAGCCCCACTTCTGATGGTCCCCTGTGGTATCATAAAGCCTGTTTGACGTTCGCCGTTTATATCGCGGATATCGTAGCCCATTTCTTGGCCAGCTTCGACAAAGGCATGGGCCAAAGGCGTCTTGTATGGAGCCTCAGATACCGTCAGATAACCACCCGTCGAATGGTAAGGCGTCTTTGTTAAGTACGGGTTTTGGTTGTCTTCTGATTTTTTGAAGTAGTAAAGCACGTCATTGTACCCCCAACCCGGATTACCTTGTTGTAACCAGCTGTCATAGTCCATTTTGTTTCCACGCACATACATCATATAGTTCAGCACGCTGGACCCGCCTAAGACTTTGCCCCGAGGCCAATTACAACGTTGATTTTTCATAGCTGAAAAAAATGAATCAAATATAATATATAATTAATATATTATTATCATTTTATGATATGTGAGGATGTGTAGTATTATAGTTTATAATTATTATTGTATTTTATGACTAATATATTCTGTTGAGACCCGAATGCGCGATGACATTCCCCACCGACCGCCACACACACGCACACACACACACAACACAAATTATTGTTTTTATTTCTGTTTTAATTGTCCGTATCAGCTGTGAATTATTATATAATATGTAAATTATCGCCGCCACCGCGCCGGCTGCGCGTTTATTATTATTTTAGCACGGCCGCCGCAAATGTGACCAGTCCAGTTTCACGCACCGGTGTCATCGGAAACCGTTAACTATTATTTTGTGTGCCAGTCGTCATTCGTAGGTACAATATATTGTAAAATTCGTAAGGCGCGAATCGCCAGAATTTATAATATATTGTATCGTTTTGTAAGGCGCGATACGCCAAAAGTATAATATATCGTGGGCGCGAATCGCTACATATTTTACGTTATTGTACGGCGCGAATCGCCAGTGTTGGTTGTAATTTTTTATATTATTATTGTGAAGGCGCGAATCGCCCAAAAATATTATTAATTGTCAAGGCGTATATCGCCAGTGTTTATTATTATTCTATTATGCATTACTATTATATAGGATAGGTAGCAGCTGGCCAGCCGTGCACCGTCCAAATTGTGAGTTTTTATTATTTATTATTATATTTATATACCTTTATGTTGCTGTGATTTTTTGTATTCCTTGTGTCCATAAAAAATTATTTATTTTGTGTACAATACAGCAACCATTTTTACCAGCAACCGTGTTACCATTTTAGAGTTACCTCTTGTCCCATAGTTTTAAGCTTACACACTCTCACATATACACACGCTTACACATCCACGACACACTAGCACTTTTTGGTCTTGCTTGGCGACCCCGTCCACTTCCTCTGAGTCGCTACACACACATACACATCTTTACACAGGTCGGTCGGTGTGTGAGTACAGCACGCGAAGTATTTAGGTGAGCGGGCGACACGCACTATTATTGTTCGTACCCGGCCCGCACATATTCTATCTATATTATAATAAAAATTAAGTTGGGTAAGTTTAACTCCTTATACATTTTTTATAATACGATTTTATATGAAGCAGCTGTTCCCAACCTTTTTAGCCAGCGTTGCTCTTTAGTTGGTCCAAATTTATCGATGGTGCCTTCATGTGAATATAATAAAGAATATGATAAAAATGAATCCTAGTTCTCATTATTAACCGTAATAAATAATTGTACCTATTGAACATATTATAAACAAATTACAAAAAGCGGGTAAGTGGATGTCGCTCTGCTGTACAGTATAGGTTTCAAGTGGGTCACTGTATAATGGATTGTATTACAATTGAATTCAATGATATCATATCATTGTATATGAAAAACATATAGAAAATTGGATCAAAATTGTACTTAAAAAGGTAATTTTTCGATTTTCTCAATAGTTATTTAATGGAAAAACCACCGACAAATTACAAAAACCGTTAAAAATGGGTTATTAATTTCTAACGCTTTGTTTATGACAATAGAAACGAATAAGAATAAAAATAAAAATAACGATTTTAGTTATTCTACATTCTGAGCGGGGCGAAAGAATGTATTAGTCTTACAATGAAGGTCAAAATTGAAAATTTCAAGCAGTTTTAGAAAGCGTAGAGAAAAACAAATCAAAAGTGAAAGAAAAGTGATAATTTTTACGCGAAACCGATTTTTGAGGAAATTGATTTTAATTTTTTGGTATAACTCAAAAATGAATAACCGTAGACCATTGAAATTTTCACCAAATATTCATATTAGAATTTTACATAAATGGTAACATTTTCATAATATTTTGACAATTTTTGGAAAGTTATAGCCTTGAGAAATTTTCAGAAATTTGTAATTTTTTTTTAAACTTTTCTCGATAAAATCTTTTTATTTAATATAAAAGCTTGAAAATTTAATACAAGATTCCTTATAAGTTTCATAAATGTGAGTTTAAAAAAATCAATTTTTTTTTATGTCAATTGAAGTTTAAATTTTGACAAAATTCAACAAAATATCGAACATTTTTCAGTTAGAAATGCATAAATGGTTTACTTTTTAAAGCTAACATTATAAATGTTGACAGAAGACTCCTCCTAAATTTACCTACCTTAATCAAAAAAAAAGTTTACCGAAAAACAATATTAATTTTTTATGAGCGTTTGAATTTAAATTTTTACGATAGTGGATTTTCATAGGTAAATTGAAGTATTTTCATCAATTAGTTTTTGATATTTTGTCGAAATTTAAAAACAAATGAACCTAGATACTTGTCGTTTTTACCAAGTGTTAAAATGATCATTATCCATACATGGTAATATTTTCAAACAATTTTGAAACTTCTTCAGCTATTTATAGCCATGAGAAATTTTTAAATGTTGAAATTATTATTTAGTTAGAAATTCATAAAACTTTTTCTTTTCATACCTAAGATTAAACATTTTAATAGAAGTTTGCCTGCCTATAACAAACAAAAAAAATTGTACTTAAATGGGTCATTACTTTTTTATGAGCTTTTGAACTTATAATTGTTACGATATTTGATATTCAGCGGTAAATTATTGATGAATTTTTGATACCTATTGTAGTATTTTCAAAAGGAAAAACTGTAGACTCACAAAATGTTCACCAAAGACTTATATCAGTATTTTCCATAAATCGTGGGTTTTGATCCAAAAGGTTCTATTTGTAAATTTAAAATTTCTCAGAGAAACCAATTCAAATATGTTTAAACATTTTTCAGCTAATAATTATTTGACTTGAACGTATAAGTTATTAAACAATAATTTTAAATTAAATCAGATTTTATATTATCTCAACAGTTAATTGAGAAAAAATTCGGTAATCAAATAATATTGTTAAAACCAAACTTGGAACCAAATAATTCAAGAGCTTTTAGCACAAAAATTAATAATCGAATATAAGATAGAACCTTTTTGCAAATAATGTAAATAAAAGTATTGTACCACATAGGACTTCTTCTACATAGTAATACCAACCTAGCATACAAAATAATGTATTTTGATCCCTTACATACTCAATTTATTTTATTTAAGAACACCGTCAAATAATTACAACGTTATAATTATTTAATATATAAACTTAATATTATGATAACAAAATGCGAGCAAACGCCGAACAATGGAATATCCCAAATAATATGTTTTTATAATAAAGGAGACTGCTTTCTAGAAAAAGACATAACATGACATTTGTTTGTATTAAGGCTAAAACCAATACTGAGTGCCCAACTGGCAAAAATATTGAGTTCAGATTGTAGGACCTGACATTTATTAAGACTATCAATTTTAAGGAAAATGTTTATGTCATCTGCAAAAAAAAGAAGTTACCCTTTGTGATCCACTTAGTGTTTGAGTTAACAAATAAAATAAATAGAAGTGGACTAAGGTATATTAAATATTGTATGGGTAATATGTGCACGTCAAATACAAATATAACAAAATATGAACTTTTATGGAAAAATAAATAGATAATAATTATCCAAAATAAAAAATATTGCATTACATTTCTAGTATTATGATATGAAATAAATTTATATATTACATATCTATGTTTTGATTTAACGTCCTTAGATCTAAATTAATATAATATTATCTTATCAATTTAAAATTGTATTAAATGACGTTTGATTTATTAGATTTAGTATTATCATATTATGACCTAATTTAAACGAGCAAACAAATGAGCAAATTTGAAATAATTTTTCAGCATAGTATTAACTATTGAGTATTGCTATCCAAGTATTTACAGCTACAGAGGGATTTCCATAACTTTCCTGCTTAGTAAGTCGGCGTCGTCCCCATGAAATCATTTTCCACTAAATGGAATCCATTTATATTGTATTCATAAGCATATAAACAAAAAAACAAGTTTGATAAAAACGAAAACACTAAATATATTTGTGTAAACAAAAAAAAAATAATAAATTAAAATACAATAATCATAAACTATGTAAGATTTATATCATGTTGGACAACACTGTCCCACTAGCAGAGAAGTTGTGGATACTGTTTTTAAATCCCCCTGTAAATGTTAAAATTTTTTTTAGTAATACCATGCTGAAAAACGATTTCCCGGAGATGACACTGACTTACTGTGCAGGAAATTCGTCGATAATCGTTTTAAATTCTCACTTTAATTTTAAAAAACTAGGATAAAATCTACAAATATACTACCTATACTTTCTTATATTATTATTCTCAAATGTATACTCTTACACGAGTTTACAGCAAATATAGTTGCCCAATGCCCATATATTTGCCAGAAGGTCCGCAAATGTATCATACTGTATGTACCTACAATGCCATTAAAAGCCAGAATGGCTAAATATCAAATAGTTTGTGAGTTCTTTTTAAATGTTGCTGAGTGTTATTTCTATACTTTGTAGTTTGTAGCACAAATTATTATTCAAATAGTGTATTATACATTTATACAGCAACTCACATACCAGAAACCGTGTTGCCATTTTTTTTATTATTTTTTATTGGAAACACACCCGGCACCTATACACGCATATACACATTATTATACACAAATACACAATATTTTGTGCAACATGGATTATGTAGTTTGACAGTATTTGCCGGCAGATACCCACGACCACTACTGTTCGAACTACTACAATGTCTTCAATACTACCTACACATTAAGCCATTATTGGATAGCTATTATATGATTTTAGGTTTCTAGGTGTTTTTGTTGTTTACAAGGCATTTGGCAAGCTGAGCATGTTTTTTTTTTTTTTTTAACTCAGTTAAGTTAACTTAATATGCACCAATAACAAAAAGTTATAAGTAATTTTAACTATAGGTTAACTCAGTTAAGTTAAAATTTAATACACATTTTTTGTTCACTTTTTATAAAAAAAAGTTTATTTGTTTATACAACGTTAGCATACTTAATTTTTTTCCAACCTAAAACTAAATTATAGACTATAATGTTTATACTTTATACAGTATTTCCATATAAGTTAGATTCGAATGATATACCTAAATTTTTAACTTCAAACAATTCACGGTACATATTTTTTGAGATGAAAACGAAATAGATTGAAATAGTGAAATACCTATAATAAAATTAAAACAAAATAAATAAAATTAGGTTGCTTCTTAAAATGAATAATTAATTCGTTAACTTCACTTTAATTAAAAAATAAATTTAGTAAGACCGCGGCCTACGTGAAACTCAAAGCGGCGAAAATCAAAACAGCTTGTATTCCTCCACATCGCGTCGCGAGGAATAGCATGGTCAGAATAGGGTTCGCCGTCGGGACGCATCGCAAACGTAGGAAACCGTGTACTTAAGTTAACAGTTAAGTTAATGAAAAGCCAAAAGTAACTAGTTAAGTTAAAAAGTTTAAATTAAATTAACTTTTTAAATCGTTAATGCCCAGCTTTGGCATTTGGTGCCGGGCACGCGTATTAAGGCTGTATATGCTCCACCCTCCTACCATTGTGTTTGTAGTTTTATGAACATTATGAAACTTTTATAGATCAAAAAAGTACCTGATATTTAAATAGTAGCACATTATTAATACCATAATTAAACCGTTGTAAATTCATTGTGTCCCTTAAATTTTTTTTTGCATTTTTGTTGGTCTCACCCACTTCATTTGTGTATATGCATAAAAAAACGAACTACAAAAAGTTTTAAGTCAATCTATTAAGGTTAACCCGTGCTGACTTGAATTTGAAATTTGAGTATATTAATTCATTCATAATTTAATGATATATTTTACATTTTCATATATAACTCATTTAAAATTAGGAAAATTAAAATTTGATACATAATATGTTTTAAATATAGTAAAATTGTCTGTAAATTATGTTCTTGTACATACTTCTTCTTATTTATTATAATTTACAAGATATATTGAATTTTGTGTATGAAAGTAATATTTTCTCAAAATTATATTATGAATTTTTATAAATACTAGGCTCAAAACTCCCGTCGATTGGACAAGTGCTTTCAGTATTTTTTTATAATGTGAGAACAGTAAAACTTAATACGAGAGAAAGTGCTTCGTTAGCCGTTTGTAAATGTAATATTTTTTGGGAAAAAGCTCGAATTCCTGTCCAAGCAGTTCAGCATTGTATTAATAATCTTTTAAAATATGTGTACGAAGAATGGCGTTCTCTACAAAAAAAAATTTGAATTTCAAATTCAAGTCGGCACGGGTTAACCTTAATAGATTGACTTACAACTTTTTGTAGTTCATTTTTTTATGCATATACACAAAATAAGTGAGTGAGACCAACAAAAATGAAAAAAAAAAAATTATAGTTAAACATTGTATATAATAGGTATCTACTCTCAAAATAAATAAATAAATCGAGTCCACAAAATATGTCCAATTATAATATTAATTTGTTACTTACCCAAACACGCTGTGTCCTGGGGTTCGGTTTTGTATTGCCAATCGAGCTGGGTGAGTTGCAAATTGGCAGCCAACAAAGGTACGTCGGATAGTTCAGTTTCCTCTCCTCCAGCTTCTATTAATAATACATTCCAACCTTCGATTTCAGTCAACCTGTTCGCCAGCACCGCACCTAAGTTATAAATGGTTTTTTACATACACATATTAAACATAGTCATATTGAACAAGTTATTGTCACTAAATCGCAATAGAAAATACTAACACCAGGTGTGCAATTATAATATGATAATAAAATAAAATAATATTATTTTCACCTGCCGATCCAGCGCCGACTATAATGAAATCATATTCGTTGGCTATCTCATCGCCGGGCTGGTCTGTGATTCTTAACTCGGAATTGAAATTGAAAAGAGCAACGGTCCCAAGCAATATAGGCAGGAACCAGGCCATTTGTGACGCAGCTTCTGCTATCGCTCCGTTAGGTAGAACTTCCACACCACTCATTCCCCGAAAGTAAAGGTATATCACAATAGCCAATCTAAAAACATAAACAAGACGCACGATGAATTTCAATGGTTTTCGGGTCACTATCTATCACTATTGGTGGTGAAACTAACCGATGCCAATATTGCCAGTATACATTATAAATTAAACAATAATGCGATGAAGAAAGAAACGGCACCCGCCTGACATTAGAACAAGCACGTGGACGAGTATTATAATAAACATGTCGCTCTAACCTAATTTTCAAATGATCAAAGTCGAAAGGACAGGATATAAAAACTATAATGGTTGAAATGAGCATTTTATTTACGAAAACTAATTTTCCGTTAAATTGAAAATGATTAGGCAGATAAGATTAGATTAAAAATAGCACGTAAAGATCGTTTATTATAATAATTATTATTATAATTATTATAATATGCCTAATACCTACTATGATTCATTACGAAATTTTTTTCTGGTAGAATACACATCTGGTTCAACTAGGTGCATAAAAATTAGTTAGTGTTCGGAATTTTCACTAAATAAATGAATTCGTTCACGTTCACGTTCAGTGCTTGAAAAAGTAACTCGTTCACGTTCAAATATATATTTTTGTCAAATGAACTGGTTTACATTCACTTTCTTTGAAAATATGAATGCGTTAATTTCGTCTTTCATTTATTTTATTTTTATGTATCGTTTAATTACGAATACAAAATCACTTTAATCATAATATTATTGTTGTTTAATGTCCAGGCTTGCCCACTGGAATTTCAAGTATTTTATTTTTATAATTCGTAATATATTATATATCGTAATAGTATTATCAATCGATATTTATTGAAAAATAAATAAACTTGAACGTCTTAAAAATCGTTCAAATTCATTAAATTATATAATATAAACGTCGTTCACGATCACGTTCTATTTGAAAAAAAAACGAGAGACTTTCACTTATCGTTCACTAAATATGAACACATAAACGAACATTAATGAACAACGTTCTATCCAATCACTGAAAATATGTTTTGGTTTTTTGAATATTATAATTACCATGTTGCCATTGACGGATATATCCCAATACGGGTAATACAATATTCAAAATAGTTACCTGTGTCATTATAAATAGGCAAATAGCTTTATAATAGATACATATACCATTTAGTATAACTAACAATAACTTTGAAGGAAGATACAAAGGTGGTTTTGATAGAGAATCAGTTAAAGTTTTAAAAAGTATAAACAAATTTATAGTGGTTCCTCTTGTTAACATATACAATTTAAGTATTGAGTAAAGCATTATTCCTAAGACTGTCTGTGGTTAAACCATTACTTAAAATACGAGATAAAGGTTCTAAAAATATTATATGGGCAAAAACCACTCTAGTAGATAAAAAAAAAATATTTGAAAAAGTTATTAAAACGGAACTGATTAATTTTTTTTTAAAAAAAAAAGGCTCTTTAAAAATTAAATACGGTTTTAGGCTGGGTTTAAAAAACAGATAATGATCCTCTGTATAAATTCTCTCCGTTTCTGTAAAGTAAATGAGTCAGTTTAGATAACAATAATAAAACTAATAATAATAATAATAATAATAATAATAATAATAATAATAAAATAATAAGGTTTTTAGATTTAGCCGAGGCCTTCGACACAGTTAATCATGATACTCTATTGAACATATTGCCTAGCTTCGAAATAAATAATTTGATTACCGTTGATACATGACGTTTTCACTTAATGTTTATATTAGCATTTTATATAAAACATACAATTTTAAAATAATTTGACTTGTTTTGAGCTGTTTACGGACATTTTATATTTAAAATTATAGTTTTTTTTCTATAAATGTCATTAATTAACTTTTATTTGTTTGGTCAAAAATCATGGAAATTTAATAAAAGGCTCCTAATATATTATTACAATGACAGTTAAAAAATATTAAAAATACATAGCCACACTTTTTTTTTTATAAGTATTTAAATTTTGAATTTTTACAAAAGGCTTAAAAATCAAGAAAATGTGCAAATTATTTTGAGTAAGAAATTCATAAAAAAATTTACTTAAAAAAAAAAAAAAAAATGTTTCATAAGTTTGTCTAACTTAATCAAAAAAAATCTCTAACGGTAGGTCAAATTAAATTTATATGGGTGTTTGAAGTTCAAATTTTTACAACATTAGATATTCACTCGTTTTCTCACATAGTTATTTTGTTATTTTGTTTTAATTCAAAAATGAATAACCATAGACACTTGAAATTTATACCATAATCTTCTATCTTCTATCTATCTATCTATATATAAAAATGAATGTATGTCAGTGTGTGTGTGTGTGTGTGTGTGTGTCCATATTACCATGGCAACCATATCTGTATATATAAAACAGTAAGCTGATTGACTGCTATCAACGCACAGCTCAAACCATTGGACGGATCTGGCTGAAATTTGGCATACAGATAGCTATTATAATGTAGACGTGCGCTAAGAAAGGATTTGCCAAAATTCGCATTTTAAATAGGTGCTGAAACAGGGACATTGAGATTCACGATAGAAATTGGAAATTTTATTTTTATTTATTTATAGTTGCCATTGGTTACAGTCTACATTAGAAATTAGCATTTATTTATTGGTTGCCATTGGTTATTCGGGCAGATCAGGTACAAGCTTGCATCAAATCGAATTATTGAACATTGCTTACCAGGGTGGCTAAGTTGCACTTACCGCAGCAAGTTACACCCAAAAGGAGTTCAACAATCATAATTTTTTTAAGAGTTGCGATTTTTTACGAGCAACCAAATTTGTTATATTAATCCACAGTATTATATCAAAATAAACTTGGTATAACTTTGATACTTTAGAGTTAAATCATACACTTCCGTACAAACAGCACGGGGTCCGCGATCTACCGCAGGTAGATTGCCTACCTGATAATGTACTGCTGCGATTCAGAATTTTTATTCAGGGCAACGGAAAAGATAAGATAAATTTTGAACACCATACACCGAATATTGAATAATGAATTGAACAAAGTTTGAGTCATATAGAGTTGATACATTTAACGGGCGACGAAGTGCACGGGATCAGCTAGTATGTTTATATTATCAATTACTATACTTAATAACATTTTCAAAATATTTTGACTAGTTTCTTGTTGTTGAGGGACATTTTCAATTTTTTTTAATTTTTTTTTTTTATTTTAATGTCATTAAAATGTTATTCGTTGGGTCGAAAAGCTTGAAAATTTAACATAAGGCTCCTGATATTAATAGGTACAACAGCTTTTAAAAAATATTAAAAATACGTATTTACAATATATACAATATTTTTTTATAAGCATTAATTTATGTTCGATTTTTGACAAGATTTATCAATTTAAAAATTAAAAAATTATTTTTAATTAAACATTTATAAAATTTTCAACTTTTATAGCTAAGGATTAAAAATTTGAACAATGTTAAACATTAGTAGTTTATTCTGTAACCAAAAAATCTAAAAATATACATAAACACAGTTTCTCATTGTAGTTATTTTAAGTTAAAATGTTGACAAAATTATATATTAAATAACAAAGAATAACGATTTAAGTTATTTTTTTGTAATTTTATAATAATATGGAATTTAATTTACCGGCTACTATATTAATAATAAATAATAAGAATATAAATATAATATAAAATATCCTAGACTGACAAACTGCCTCCGCTCAAAATCGTTTTTACTTCTTCGTATTCAATATTATTATAATATCATTGAATTCAAATTGAATACCACCCATAACAGTGACTCACTTGTAACCTACTGTACAGCAGAGTGACATCCGCCTACCCAATTGTACGTTAAATGAAGGAAAAATAAATTGGAATCTTGTATTACATTTTTAAACTTTAGATATAAGTAGAATCATTCTTATGAATATCTAACTCAAAATAATTTGCAAACTTTCGTGATTTTTACGTTATATGTCAATAATTGAACTTTAAATGCTTACAAAAAAAGGTGTGATTATGTATTTTTAATATTTTTCAACTGCCAAGGAAAATTGTTATTATGGACTTGTATTAAATTGTTCAAGCTTTTTGATCCAAAGAATAAAATTGTATTTACATTTATACAAAAGAAAAATTAAAAACTGAAAACGTTCGGGAAGACCTCAAAACAAATCAAAGTATTCTGAACAGTGTATGGTGTAAAAAAAACTCTAATATAAAATATATTCAGTACGATTTTGAGTAAAAAATTTTAGTTTTCCAGGTGCTTTTAAAACTACTTGGACATTTTTACTTTTGACCCCTCTATATACCAACTAGAATCACTTTCCTTTCAGAAAATATGCTGTTGAAGAAAATCTAAGGATTTTTATTGTCCTAAAAAGACATAGTAGACATAAATAAAAAAAAAAACCAAATAAAGTATAAAAAGAACCCACATCATCGTAAAACTATTACATTCATCCCACAGAATCGAAAATGCACGAAACTGTGTAACAAAAATGCTTATAGCAGTTACATAATGTTAAGTCTGAATTAATTTACAAAAACAACTATCCTGCAAAATTATGAAAAATGCAGATAGGTATTGACAGTACTGTGTTTTTACGTTGTACAGCTGCCATTGTTAGCCACTTTACTTATAATTTATTACATTTAATAATTGTAAAAGCTAATTAAAGTCTCCCCAGAATATTTTATACTGAGGATTAAAACATTAAATCAAATATTTATATTTTTTGAATCCAAAAACAAACAAATGAACTGCGCATCGAAAATCTTGTAAGTGATCGTCTTCGGTGCCATTTAAATATCGATTTGCACTCATAGTTTTATAGGTAATACAAATATACTATGAGAGGAGTGCGAGTTTGTAGGAAAATAAACATTTCAAGAGGCATCATTATACTGACATATTATTATGTTTAAAAAGCGTTTAAGTAGATGTGTACATCTGCTTTGCAGTAGGTTACAAGTGGGTCATTGTATTATGGATTGTATTAAACTTGAATTTAATGATATTCAATCATT